GGGAAATGAGAAGAAGAAGGCCTTCTCAGAAGGCGGCGGGACTTCTCAGAAGCCCTCGCACCTTCTGAGAGGTTTTCTGTCTTCGGGGAAGGCTCAAAAAACTTCTCAGAAGGCCGGGGGACTTCCGAGCCTTCTGAGAAGGCCCGCCCCTTCTCATTTCCACCCCGCGCTCGCGGCCCATCACCTTCGTGTATTTTCTGATCCTCCCTGTGAGACACTTCTATGGCCCGTTTTCACGACCATGTAACCCTCCATCGAAACGCTATGATAGGAAAAATCGATCCATCGACAGGGGCCCCCGCCGCCAGGGCTCTCGAAGACCCAGCGACGACCCGACGGACTCGCTTGACCCAAAGAGGCTCCACGATGGGGGGACCTCGACAAGGCCACCAGAACATCAAAAACCTGTCCGCCGCTCTCGTCCTCCTGCTCCTCCTCCTCCTCCTCGTCCTCGTCCTGCTTCTCCTCCTCGTCCTCCTCGTTGTCGTCCCCGCCCTCCTCGTCCTGCCTTCCTCCTCGTCGCCGTCCCCCTCCTCCTCGCCCCACACCTCCTCCTTCCTGCTCCCGCCGCCGCCGTCGTGCCTCTCGCCATCCTCCCCCTCCCTCCCTCCCTCCTCGGGGGGCCGGCGGCATCGCCCGAAACCGCTGGAAAAGCTCGACCAGAGCCCCCGCCGCCGAGGCAAAGGGGAGCCCCCCCTCCCCGCCACGCGGGGGGAAACGCCGCGGGCGGCTGCGGCGCGTGGGGGTGCTGCAGCGCCGTCAGCGGCGGGGGCCCGCCTGCGGGGTGGGGGGGTTTTAAGATATTGGCGGCTTTCTAAAAATCATCACTGATTTGGCAACTCGTTTCGGGGAGGAAGCTTCTCTGCAACCGGAGCAGTTCCTGCCGCGTTCGCTTGCAGATGATTGGGTCTCTAGCTGCTGTGCTCAAAAATCTGTGTGCAACTGACTCTCCGGGGGGGGGGCAGCATCGGCCCGCATCGCATTCGCGAGTCGGACCGAACCGACATGTGCATCCTCGGTGGCACCTCGTGGGAGTCTCCCGTACCATCTTGTCGGCTCTAGCGAATCAACGCCAGTCGGCGCTAGACCGACGCTGGTCGACGCTGAGTCGACGCCCATCGACGCTAGCCGACGCTAAATCGGCACTATCTCATCCATTCCCAGACGCTTATCGACGCTTATCGACGCTGAGGACAGAATTGCGAGGGTATACCAGGCTCCCATGATTTGCTACCGAGTGCATCCGACCGGGCTGCCTCGGCTTGTGGATGCCATGACAGTGGACACTCTAACAATCCTAGCATTGAATGAAAGATGTGTTTAAAATGTGAAAACATCTTCTAAACATGTTTTTTACATGTTTAGACATCTGGAAATGATTTGGCAACATGCTTCCTCTCCATTGATCGTCCTCCACCAGCCTCGGTACAGAACCGATATCGAATCGGATCAGCCGCGCCATTGACATGTTTCGTTGTTTTCCCGGGACATAGGGGAAAAAAGTATACCCCACGCCACCCCAGCGTCGTCCTTGACCCTCAAGAAGAAGTCCTGGGATTGAAAAACAGCCCGCCACTGGTAATGTATACGTTCCAGTTTCCGAGAGTGCATCGGACCGGGCTGCCTCGGCACAGAACCGACACCGCTGCTCCCCGGACCCCTCCTGGGGTGCGTTCTGACCGGAATGTCGAGGCGAATCCAGCGGTGGAGACGAGGGAGGCCCAGGAGGCCCAAAAGGAGGAAAACGAGAAGAGGGCAGAGGTATGGGTACCTCCTTTTCCTCCCCTGAGCCTCGGCACAGAACCGACATCGACTCGGATCCGCCACGCCACGATGTCGGCGGTGGACAAACCTCCCTTTATAAGAGACCACCCTTTAGTGAAAACGGCCTGGGACCGAAACCGATGGACCTGGACCCGCAAGGATGACGGCCGCGACGCCCTCTCGCGAACCGAAGACGGCCAATTCACTAATCGACGTGTCAGGGTAGGAGGTCTATCCACCTGCGCGTCTCCACGCTTCCAGAAGGAGGAGGAGGAGGAGGAGGAGGAGGAGGAGGAGGAGAAGGAAGAGGAGGGGGAGGAGGAGGGGGAGGAGGGAGGGGGGGAGGGAGGGGAGGAGGAGGAGGAGGAGGAGGAGGAGGAGGAGGAGGAGGAGGAGGAGGAGGAGGAGGAGGAGGAGGAGGAGAGGTCTGTCCACCCCCGACGATGCACGGCGCCGCCCGAGGCGAGCGCCGGGCCGCAGCGGGGCTCGCCGGAGTGCCGGAAAGAAGCGCCGCGGATCGGGCAGGCCAGCGCGCCGGTGGTCGCAGCGGATGGAGCGGAGCAAAAATGGGCCCCCGGCTTGGGGGAGGGCAGCTTTGGAAGGGGCCCCGGGACGCACAAAAAAAAAAATGTTTTGATCCACGGGTCGAGAGCGCCGAAGACGATGAGCTTGCTAAGGAACGCCTTGGCCAAAAACCCGGCGGCGAAGTACCGGAAGAAGCAAAATGCTGTGATTGGTGGTGCCGTCAACGGCACGTCGTACACCAGCCTCAAGTGGCGGCAGGAGGGACTCGCCTTGTATCCAAGAGGCGACGACCAGGGAAGGTAGGGAGCATCGCTGAGCCGAAGTGCAACGTTGTGCCCCGAACAGGATGCGGGAGCGGGTGGCGGGCCGTGGTTGTCCAAGGTGCCACAGACCCAGGGTACGGGAGCCACCGCCTGAGCAAAAGTAAATACACACAAATAACAGGATTCCCCTATGTTCCCATCTCTTCTGGGTTTTGTTGTCTTCCCCCCCACGTCCCATAGTTTCCCACATTTTCCTGGGGGTCGACAATGACTTGTGTCTGTGTGTTTTTGCCCCCTCCTGAAGCTTTCTAGCCCACCACTTCGTCCTCCTCCCCAGCTTTGTGGATGCCACGAAAATGGATACCCTAAGTGTCCTCTCATTGAATGTAAACTGTGTTTGAAATGTCGGAAACATGTTCCAAGCATGTTTTAAACATGCTTTGTACATGTCTAAAACATGTTTGACACATGTTCTAGACATCTGGAAATTATTTGGCAACATGCTTCCTCTCCACTGATCGTCCTCCACAACCCCAGTTGGATCGGGGGAACAAAAACCGATAGGAGTCTAAACACTCGGAGGCCCTTGCGGATTTCTTTGGCCCCAACCTCCGCCCTGGGAGGGAGGGACCCCGATCGGTCGGGAGGTCCCCTCACTGGCGCGTTTCGCGCGCCAGGGAGGGCGGCCCAGCGTCAAACCAAGAAATCAGCGCGGGCCTCCGAAAGCATATGTTCATTCAGTTTGTTATTTTTCGAGTGGAGGCAAGCAGTCTACGCGTCCTGAACTCTATGTCCCAGCCTCTGCGCTAACTCGTGGCCCCATCCGGGGCTGCGGGCATATCCAAAGATGCCCGCGGCATCCCTCGCAGAGACTTGGGCTCAGATCCTTCCCTGGTCCGCTGACCTAGATCGACCTCACGTGCTGGTTCTGCGACGGCAGGGTGCTGTCGGAGCTGCGCATCGCATCATCTCTGCCCGCAGCACGCCAACAGCACGCCAGGAATACAAAGTTTGGTGGCAACTCATGGGAGCCTCCCATACCATTTTGTCGGCCCTTGCGAATCGACGCTAATCGACGCTAGTCGTGCTAACCGACGCTAAATCGACGCTAATCGACACGAGCCGACGCTAAATCAGCGCCATCTCATCGACTCCCGCGAGGGCGCCTTCTGTGCACGCTGTCCCCCTACCAGGGCTTCTTCGTCGCAAGCTGCCTCCAAGATGGGGGATAGCGCTTTGCCGTTCCAGGCTAACTTGAGAAGTGTATCCCCGGGGGGGATTTCGAGCACCCAGCTCTGCTTGTCTGCCCTGCTGGGGCGAAGGACGCCCTCCTCTGGACGACCTCCCAGCCCGCCAGTGCGATGCCCTGGGGCCTGAAATTCTTTGTGAATGTCCAGGCCAAAGTAGGTTATGTTGCATCTTCGGGGGACCTTAACTGTCCCGTCGCGCCGCGATCCACGTCGAATCCGTGTCGTATTCGTGTCGAGCGCGTCGAATCCGTCTCGAAACCATGTCGGATCCGTGTCGAATGCATGTCGAATCCGCGTCGAACCCACGTCGGAGTACAAGGAAAGACTGCCGTTTACAGGACAGGAAAGGTCCCCTGAAGATGCACAGTAAAGTAGGCTTGAGCATTGTAAGCATAGCGTGTGATAAGCAGGCCGGCGGCGTCACATCGCGCGCTGTCCTTCCAACACCGACCGTGAGAGGAGAGACGTTGGCGGCACAGCAGTGCCGAGGCATGCAGACAGGCAAGGCCAATCAGATCGCCTCGTGGCCCCAACGAGGCGCGGTTCCCTCTCATGGGTCCCCCGTCCCACTCATCCTCCTCCTGTCCTCCTCCTCCTCATTCTCTTTCTCCTCCTCTTCCTCCTCACCATCATCATCATCTGCAACAGCAGCAGAATAATCATCATCATCACAAACAACAGCATCATCGTCATCAGCATCATCACCATCATCAGCAGCATCGTCATTATGGGGCATACCGGTGGTCATTGCCGATCGGCGTGCAATAATTACATTCAACACGGGGCAAGGGGGGGCAGCACGCACACACACAAACACACACAAACACACACACACACACACACACGCACACGCACACACACACACACATACTCGAGTTCCTCCAGGGACAAAGTGACGGCACTGTCGCGAAACGCAAAGCCGAGACACGCTCAGGCGAATCTCCACCCGGCGTGGCAAAAACTGAGGACTGGGTGGTGGCAATCGCGCGGAAGATGCCCGGACGGCCGTGCAGATTAGAAAGTGCTGCCCGAGCATCGCCAAGTTGACTGGTGAGCAAGGGCCGAAAGGAGGCAGAATGCTAAAGAGCCCAAGAAGAACGTACGCGCCCAGCTATGTACATGAACACGGCCCCTCGATCCGCGAGACCGGCCGCGTGATACAAACATTCGCGCAATGCGTACTCTCGAAACCAGCGTG